GCCTAAGGGCTCTTGTCTCTCACCAACCCTTTACACACTCTACACGGCTGACCTGCCACCCCCAATCGTCGGCAGCGAGTACGTCATGTATGCCGACGATGTAACACAGATCGTCACCTGCCCAGGAAGGTCCACAGCAAGGATGGCGCGACTCACTGCTCGGGCAATAGAGGAGATCTCGGAGTATGTAAATAAATGGAAAATAAAAACAAACAAAACGAAATTTGAGGTCATACCCATAGCCAAATTCAAACCGGCCCCATTGATGATCGACGACGAAGAGATTGAGTACTCTAAACATGGCAGGTTGCTCGGCCTCATCATTTCTCGGACGGGCATCATTCCCCACGTGAAGGACAGACTAAATAAAGCCAAAGTCGCCGCAGCCAAATTAAAACGTTTTAAATTGATGCCTGAGAAGATACAAGTTCACCTGTACAAGGCGCTGGTGAGGCCTGTGTTGGAGTACCCATCTATACCACTCGTCACACGCGGGAAGACTAGACTACAACAACTACAGAGCTTCCAAAACAAGTGTTTGAGGTCAGCCAGTGGCCAAGCGCCACCCTACCAGGAGACAGTGGAAACCATCCACCTAAAAAATAAAACAGAGGCCCTCAACTTCAGGTTCCATCGCCTAGGGAAGAAGGTTTGGGACAAGCTCCTGGACGACCCATCTATGTCCGCCACAGTGATCCACCTTAGATTAAAACTTAGGTGATATAAATTCACATTTAACAAGTCACAATCAAGTGAGTCCATAACGTAATACAGTATAAAATGTTAATAAACTTGTAATTGTAATATCAATCTCGTCATTGTCTACTAAAATAACCATTGTGCAACCTCATTCTAAATCCTAGGTTAGCTTAGTTAGCCAACAAACTCTGTAATATGTAAAACAAGGGGTGTCGTCCCCCTCTGTTTAACTCATTAAACTTCTTTTCCAACCTTTCCCCCCACGACTATATGTTGTGACTTCTCCATCCCTCATGTCTGGCTGTGCCTTGAGCCCCAGCATGCCTTCCATCCTTTCCCCACCTTAACCTAAAAAAAAAAAAAAAAAGTGAGGTCACCTGGGAACAGTCACGTCAGTCCCCAGTAGGAAGGGGTGAGGTCATAGTTGACACAACAATTGATCATGACACAACAATTGACCATGACTATAATATATTCACTTTTACACCTTCATGATTATGTTTTTAGTTAACAATTCTCAAACTCTGACATATTAAAACTCAACACCTACTTCGACATGAATGAGGTACTGGTTAAAAAAATTTACCTGTTTACGTGTTCACTAACCTATGATAGGCTGAAAATCCATCATCTCACCCTCTCATTATCCTTGGGCCGTTCCTACTACCTAATATTTATTTTTAGTTCAAATGATAACCATGCAATATTTTTTTTTATTCCTCGATCAATCAGTTAAGAGACCCTGGGCGAATGTAACGGTGTATAATTTCGTATAGAAAATACACGCAAATAGGACAACTATAGCCCCTGGGGGGATGAAGGCCCAAGTAATTACTCCGTCACCACTTTCAAGTTTTTTTTTTTTTTTTTTTTTTGTAACCTTGTATTACCTGCCTTGTTGGTCCGTACTCTCGAAAATACTTAATGGAACGATCACCAGAAAGTGTTTGTCGCTGATGTTATTATGACCGAATAAAGGAACGTAGGTAAAAGAACGCGTTGTATATACAGGTGGGACCTGTCACCCCACTCATCAAGTACAAACAAACCTGTTTTTCATAAGCCCCCACACACCACACCTCCTGCCAAGTATATATTTATTCTTATCTGAGCAAACAGGTTTATATGTCTGTCACTTTGGTCACTAACTGAGTCACTCACTCACTAACGGAAAAAAAATCCTTTCTTATGTGCTGCTGTAATATAATTAATAATATGGCCCTCTTAGAGTTGACATAGCTGACCTACGTGAACATGTTTCTGTGCATGGCAGAATTGGTTTGGCGCTCGATGACGAGGAAGGTCATCGGTACGCTGGCCTGTTCAACACATTACGAGGAACGTGAACTCATTATTCTTTGAAAGGTTCACGGTATTCCTTACCCAAATTCTACGTTTTGTGTTACTTGCACTTAACTTATTCTGACTTATTTCCTATTCTTCTCTTGTCTTCTACACTTCCTCGTTTGCCTCCACTTTCTCTCTTTTTTCTTCTTCCTGTTTTCGTTATCCTCTTCCTCTTTTTTCCCTCCTATCATCCTCTTTCTTTCTCTTCCTCCTCCCCGTGATCATCTCTCTATTCTGTTTTCCTTCTTAGTATAAAAAGTATTCAAGAGAGGTGCTCGGGACCCCAGTGAGGCGTGGTGGGTGACCCGACACTTACCTGTGTGGCTGTGTTGATTCATTACTTAAACACAACGTACCGTACATACCCATCAGTCATCACGAGTACCTTCAGCCTCTTCTAAGACTAAATATTCCTTTGTAATGACCCCCCCTAAGAAGATGGCGCCCTTAGGTTAAAACGACAGCGAAACCGTCTGTCTTTCGTATTTCTTCAGGCAAAACCAACTAAACATAACCTAGCCACTTTTAACTTACCCTAAGAGACCTAAATCCCCAATTTAACATTGCTACAGGGTATATTTTCTTGTGGAGGTTAATTTTGGTTATTAGTGGTCCTATTCGAGGTACTTTTCCAACACTGTACATTTTGTTGTTGTCCCTTTAGATGGTCTTTGTGATACGATCCCTTTGATTATTTTGATATCTTTTTTTTCTAACCGTTTTCACGTGTCCTTTATAAAGAGGTGTTTCTGGTATACCTCTTAGTTCATCTACTTTTACTTCTTCTTTTTCTTTTGCATATTCTTCATCTTTATTTAATCGTCTTTCTGTTTCTTAATCTTCCCAATCCATTATCTTTCTTTTCTCCCCTCCTATTTTTTGCTACCTCACTTCTTCGTTTCCACAAACATTTATTTTTAATAATTTCTGTAAACGCTTGTAATTCCGTGCACATCCTTCACTCTGCAACAGACTGTGTCTATTAACCTCCACTACTACCTTCACCTCTTCTAATCACTCCTTTCACTCGGAGTCTAACTGTAGTGGAGTTTTTCGTACAGCATGAATTCCAGGCTTGAATCGTGCAATTCTTATTTTAATCACTGTTAGCTTTTCTGTAACCAGTGATGAGAGAACGTATCTAATTCACGGTATACTCTTGGTGCAATTGTGACTTTTGGCCGTAGCAATACAATAACAGTGGTGGAAATTACATAGAATTCTGATATAAACTCTGTAGCTGGAGACGATCGACCACTCTTAAGTTTATGGACTATAAAAGACGCAATGTGTCTGAAAACTTGTATCCAATTTTTTTTATAATGACGACGGTCATGGCCAAAGGATTTCAGAGGGTTTTTTTGTTGCTGTTTTACTTGAAAGTTATGAGCGAATGAATTTTCACTTTTTTTTCTTAAGTGGGCCGTAATGCGCAACCTGTTGCCTCTGACCTGATCTAATTTCTGTCTCCAGGGTGTGGAAGGCTCACGTTCTCTGCTGAGTTTCATTTCACGCTCATATCTTAATTTAACTTATGCTTATTAGGAAACACAAACATCGGCAAAAGGACCTTAACTTACAACTGAAATATACAACGCTCTCGTAGTTCTGCTGTTTTATCTTCCATAATGCGATTTAAGTGTTATTATTTAAATGGTACTACACAATTTCTTCAGTTATATATATATATATATATATATATATATATATATATATATATATATATATATATATATATATATATATATATACAGTATATATAACTCTGTGTTTGAAAACCGAGTGCCCGCCTTGCTGGGCATGAACTCAGCCTCCAGCCAATCAGCCTATGACGACACATTCACAGGCTACTGTGATGAGTTCATGCCTCAGGTAGTCATTGTCTAAGCTGAATGTTCTTGTATTTCTCTAAACATGACACAATCTACTCCAAAAAACATGGCATTGTTACACTGACTTAGATCTGTAAAAAGGGGTCTAACAATGGCAGATTCAATGTAACGTATAAAATTTTAAAGTTGTAAGGCTAGGGAATGATAATAGGGGAACAACCATTCATCAGCTGAACAGCGTAGATATAGAGTAATGCGATTGTCAGAGTTATTTATATGCCAATGCAGCTAATAAAGTATTGAGGCTCTTACCTTGGGGCATTAGTAACAACTGTATCTCCCATATGAGACATCATTTGGATTATGCGGTTCAGTTTTGGTCACCTTACGATAGAATGGATATAGATTCCCACTAGAAAATGTTTAGAGAAGGATGACAAAGTTAATCCCGGACATTAGGAACCTTGGGAATAAAGACAGAGTAAGAAAACGGAATATGCAGTCTTTTGGGAAACGTAGAGTGAGGGGTGATATGATCAAAGTGTATAAATAGATGATTAAGTTAAATAGGGGTAATATAACTAAGGTACAATTGCGGAAGTGTGTTCCTACGCCCGCTGTGGTAGACCGAGTCCCCAAATGGCACCGTCATAGTAGTAATATCACTATTATTTAATGAATAAGTATTGGTCATATAAAGATGGACTTGATTGGTGGATATGGATGCTATAGGTCAAAAAGATTGGCCGTTTGGAGACACGGGTTACAACAGGGGGTGTAGGAACACATATACGTACTTAAACTCTGATTGGTAGTGAACACGTTGCAAAAGTTGTGAATTGGAGAATTTTATATTCACGAAGGAATTAAGTAAACAATGGTTCACATGTAGAGTTGTAGATAAAAAGAACAAGTTATCAAACACCATCATCAACTTGAACTCGTTGGGGAGTTTTAGATACAGTAAAAGTTGGAAAGATATACGAGTGATAATGGTTGGGTGTAAACAAGAGCTGCCTCACGTGGGCCTACTGTAATGACATTCATTCTTATATTCTTATGAGAAAAAGTACATATTAGTCACTCTTTGTTTCCTGCCTGTTAAGACAACCATCTCTACAGTTCTCTGCTCGCGTGGGTGTGGCGTGGGCGGCGTGTGTGTTGGCGTGGAACGGTGCAGGTGCGGACGTGGATTCTCAGGACCCTCCTGCACCACACCCATCTGTGACCCGCCGTGTAGCAACGGAGGAACGTGCACCAGCCCCGGAGTATGCACCTGCCCCGAAGGCTACTCGGGTCTCTGGTGTACAAACAGGTTCGTGCATATAACACAGGGTTATCGACCACTACGCAAGTGGGTCATCCTGATTGGCGGAGGCTCGATGTTCCTCTCAAGAACTTTAGTTAGCCAGCATCCTTCCATGGAGGCCAAGAACAAGTTTGTCAAGTCTGGTACAGGACTTAATCATCACACCATTACCAGTGTTTGATTCTGATTAAGAACAAGTTGAATATACGGTCGGTCGTGAACCCTGAGAGAAAGCGGCTTGGGTAGGTTCCATTAAACATTTTCGCCAGTCATCTGTTCACAGCCTGTTACTCTCACAGTGAATAAGATCACCCCAACCTGCTGTCACTTTTGTCCATCAGTGATGAGTTACATTAATTAATAATATGTTTATTCTAGACAATTTTTCCCCTTGATAGTATTTAACACCTGTCACCTTACTGATGATCACCTATAGCACTTCTGCACTCAGTACTAATAATCCCCCTTAACACCTGTCCTCTTCGTAATGATAAACCCCTGTAACACCTGTCCTAGCAATGATAATACCCTATTACACTTTCCTCCTAACAATGATAATCTCCTGTAACACCTGTCCTCTTAGCAATGATAATCCCCTGTAACACCTGTCTTCCTAGCAATGATAATTCCCTGTAACACCTGTTTTCCTAGCAATGATAACCCCCCTGTAACACCTGTCTCCCTAACAATAATCCCAGATAACACCTGTCCTCCTAGTAATGATAATCCCCTGTAACACCTGTCCTCCTAGTAATGATAATCCCCTGTAACACCTGTCCGCCTAGCAATGATAATCCCCTGTAGCACCTGTCCTAGTAAGTACAATTCACTGCAACATTTGTCTTCTCATGTATAAAGAAAAGCTCCTTTAACACCTGTACTGAACACCCTGAAACACGTACTGTATATTGAAAGTCTTATAATACCTGTAATATGTGTATTAAAATCCTGTAACATCTGTAATGAACTTTTGTATTGAACCCCATAGCAACTGTATTAAACCCCGTTAAAACTGAACTTTTGCAGCACCTGTTTTGTACCCTTAAGAACCCTTTAATACCTACCTGTTTTGTACCCTTAAGAACCCTTTATTACGTACCTGTTTTGTACCCTTAAGAACCCTTTAATACCTACCTGTTTTGTACCCTTAAGAACCCTTTAATACCTACCTGTTTTGTACCCTTAAGAAACCTTTAATACCTACCTGTTTTGTACCTTTAAGAACCCTTTAATACCTACCTGTTTTGTACCCTTAAGAACCCTTTAATACCTACCTGTTTTGTACCCTTGAGAACCCTTTAATACCTACCTGTTTTGTACCCTTAAGAACCCTTTAATTCGTACCTGTTTTGTACCCTTAAGAACCCTGTAATAATCACTTGTTTTGTACTACCACTTAGAACCTTGTAATAATCGCCTGTCCTCACCTTGCAGGAAGTGTAAGTACGTGCCCAAACAGGTAGCGTACACTAGGAGTTACAAGAAGATGGTGCCTCAGAGAGTTCAGACCCACTGCGGTGCCTGGGGGTGGAAGAGCTGTACCTCCGTCAGGCAGGTGTACCAGACGGTCACCCAGAAGTTCTACCGTACCGTCTACACCTGTGAGCCAACCCCCTAACGCCCCCGACACCCCTCCTCTCGACACATGACTGAAGTGTTAAAAAAAACCTAAAAAAAAAAGAAATTTCTAATCCGATTATCTAGCTAATGATCTGAAAGGAAAATGATTGTGTAATCTCATTTTCATAACATCGGGCTACTATTATATATGTAACTCAGACATGAAATTGATATTGAAAGTGTAATCTGATTTCCACATCATGGGATCACTATTGCTAAATGTAAATCAGAGCTAAAGGCAAAAAAAAAAAGAAATAAACTTTAATCTGAATTCCACAACATGGGACGACTCCTGTTTATTTAAAGCGGGAACTATAGACCTGTGTTAATAACCCATATGGGATACGAGCCTATTTCTTACCCATAGTTTTTACTGTAGGTATATTTAGCTACACATTATGTTCTTTATTATTGTACCCTCTTAAGTTGGTAACATGTATAGTCGTCACTAATATAACTGTTAACTCGTAAGGATAGACTAAGTCGCTTCGATATCATGTGTAAAAAAAATTCTATATTTATTTGTTACATATTAAAAAACTGTAATGGTTGAGTGGAGGAGGTTGATGAGGGTAAATGTCTGTCATTAGTCTGTAAAAGATTAAACTAATAAGGACTGCCTTTTAAATAGTGTCTGTAAACATTCTTTGATGCTAGTCTCTAATGATGGATGGACTGCGTAAGACCGACCTTTAATTACAGTTCTGTAGGCGTTGTTCATTGGTGGAGAGGTTCCTGCAACTTATTCCTGTAATTAAACATGTATTACAGAACAATTTATTCATACCCGATATGTATTGACACTTTTCACAGATTGCAGGTTAAAGATACATAAACTTTCCTTTGGTGAATAGACACTTACGTAAACAGACCATTAGTGTACTATATAAGGATGTGTTTCAAGGATAGTTAAGTATAATTTAAATGAACTTGATGTGATGACTGGTAGTGGTGAGGCAAGAGAACATGATGTGATGACTGGTAGTGGTGAGGCAAGAGAACATGATGTGATGACTGGTGGGAGGGAGGAACTACCCTGGAGGTAAAAAAATAAACAGATGTTTGCCTGTCAGTAAAGATCGATCTTATATTACTTCAGCTGCTACTGTACCTCATTCCTCCCTCCCTCCAACCTTCCCTTCGACCCACCCTCCCTGCCTACCTCCACCCCTCTATCCTTCCTTCCCTGCCTACCTCCACCCCTCTATCCTTCCCTCCCTGCCTACCTCCACCCCTCTATCCTTCCCTCCCTGCCTACCTCCATCCCTCTATCCTTCCCTCCCTGCCTACCTCCATCCCTCTAACCTTCCCTCCCTGCCAACCTCCACCCCTCTATCCTTCCCTTCCTACCTCCATCCCTCTTTCTATCCCTCCCTGCTTACCTCCATTCATCCTTCTTTGCCTCACTCCCTCCCTACCTGTATCCCTCTCTTTGCCTCCCTCTCTCCCTCTCCCTCTTTGTCTCCCTCTAGCCCTTCCTGCCTCCCACCTTCTATCCCTCTCTCCTATCTCTCCCTCATCTCTCTCTGTGCTTTCCTCCATATATCCACCCATCTCCGTCTCCTTGAGGGTCTTATGCCAAATGTGTGTTTCGGAGAGAGAAATGCACGAGTCTTATGTCTGATTGCAAAATGACGTGTCTTGACCCTTCAGGTTTGACGTATGTTTCGTAAGCTTATTCATTGGCTCAGAAATGTAAAGTTTGTACAGTGTGGTGACTTTACTCCGGTAACTCTGCAAGCTTTGAAGATTTTGGTTGTATATACAGCATCCAATTACCTTGAGAGGTTGATTGTTTATGGCAGTGTGGCCTTACAGTACAATAATGTGACTACCGGACCACAAAATAATACTTTACTGTATTGTGATATTATAGCACCACAGATTTTTTTTAGTATTGGATTATAACACCAGATTATAGTACTGTACCATAGATTCTTGTAACGTTAGATTATAACACTACATAATCCTACAATTTTATGGATTTATTACATACATTACAGTCTGGCAGTGGTGTGAGATGACGAAATATCTGAACATTGCAGAGCTGAGATCTTGTTACCAACACTTGGTATTACCGAATACTAATCGTACACGCCAAGTATGAAAAAAAATTAATAAAATCAGACACAATATTACTGAGATGATCTAATTCACACGGTCTCTGCAGTCACCTTTAATCTAGGGACTGTAATGGGTGTGAGTATCCTCAGTGAACTATGGTCGTAAAAGGAAGGTGAGGAGGAAGTTCTGATGGCAGAAATTTAAGTGTTTTACTCAGCCAGATACTGCATATTACTTTCACTTTTTTCTCTTTATCTAATATATATATATATATATATATATATATATATATATATATATATATATATATATATATATATATATATATATATATATATATATATATATATATATATAACCTGGTCATCTAACGTGAGAAGCAACTTAACGTTGGTGTTCTGGGATGTGTTTAGTGTATATAATGAAACTCTTTTACCTGAACTTTTATGGTTGTTCTAAAGTAAGTCAGTTCTATATGTATTGTCACATACTGTATGTAGTGTATAATTCGTCAAGAAATAATCAAGAGGAGTGAGAACTGTATTTGAATTATTGTTACGCCAATAAATGTGAGTAACTGAATGGAACAAGGCTTTATTTTACCCTATTCACTATAATGGGGATAAAATCTCGCTAAAGAGGTGAGGAAATATATAATTTACTTTACCATATCACAAGTGATCGCAGAACAACTAAGACATGAGGAAAATAGATTGTTTTTATTCGAGAACCTGGAATGATTACAATATTGCAGGGTGTGTAGATGGGAGGAAGGGTGTGTGGATTGGAGGTAGGGTGTGTGGATGGGAGGTAAGGTGTGTGGATGGGAGGAGGGGGTGGGTGGGATGAAGGGTGGGTGGATAGGAGGGAGAGTGTGTGGATGCGGGGAAGGGTTTGTTATTTATTGTAGATTGTTTGGCTCTCTGAGGCTGGCTTGAGGTTTACGGCTGACTAGCTGAAGTGAACGGCTGGCTGGCTGAGGTGAATGGCTGGCTGGCTGAGGTGAATGGCTAGCTGGCTGAGGTGAATGGCTGGATGGGCTGAAGCAAATATCTGGCTGGCCAAGAACCCCACCAAACAGATCCTCAATGCCAGACAGGCTGCATGTCGTCATTGGCAAGTACTGGGCAAGAACCGGCTCCAGAATGTATCTGCACCTGCGCCAGTGTTGGTCAAGTCTGGTCTTGGATGAGCTCACTCTCGGTGCTGCCACACTCTCTGGCAGAGTGTGCCAAGAGTTTACAAACTCAGAAAAAGTTTGCCTTGACAATTTTCCGAACTTGTGGCTTCTTCAACTATAAGCTGTGACCACCCGCCCCGCTAGGCTAGTGGGGCGGTGGCCGGTAATAAAGTCACAGGAAAAAAAGTCACAGAAAAAAAGTCACAATTTTGGCAAGGAAAAAAAGTCACAGGAAAAAAGTCACAATTAATTTATGGTGGCCGGTAATAAAGGTTAGGTTAGGTTAGGTTACCATCAGTTCTGCATATTCCTTTACTGAAACTGATTGACATATTAACCTTAGAAAATGTGAGAATTCGATAGTTAACTTTTCTCTTTTTCCTGTGACTTTTTTCCTGTGACTTTTTTTCTGTGACTTTTTTACCTGTGACTTTTTTACCTGGATTCAGTGGGGCACGTCCCCCAGTTCCAGGTATTAACCCTCGACTGAGTAATGCCCTCTGAGTTGTTTACAAACTTCAATTAAGTCGCTCCTTGACTACCTGTAGTATAAACTAGGCAATTCCTGAAGGGGGAGGGATATAAAATTTGCTCAACTTAAGAGTTTGATAAAAAAACAAACAAATATGAAGCACTATGAGTGTATTGTATGTGGAGATTAAAGATTCACATAGTATACTGTGCGTGTAAACTGAGAATATGAACAAGTACTGTGTGTACTTGTACTGTACTGTACCTATCGACAAGAAGGGAGTGATGCGGTTTCTTGGCATGGCTGGCTATTACCACCGTTTTTGCGGGAATTTCTCTCAAGTTGCTACTCTCCTGACTGACCTATTAAGCCCAAGAAGGGTCTTTCCTTGGACTGATGACAGAGGGCCTTTGAGAACCTGAAAACTCTCCTGGCGAGTGCCCGTGTTTCAAGGCTTATGTTCTTATGATTACGTCATCCTTCAAACCACGTGGCGCACAATGAGAACATAAGAA